TGGCAAAATTGGTTTAGCACTTGTACAAAACTAAACCTAGATCCTTATATATCACCATGCACCAGAATCAACTTCAAATGGATCCAAGACCTCAAAGTGATAACAGACAACCTGAAAACATTACATGACAGAATAGGAGAAAGTGTAGAATGCCTTGGCACAGGCCAAAAATTTTTTAATAGAGGCTCAGAGACACAATAAATCAAAGAAAGCATGGATAAATGGGATTGCATGAAACTGGAGAGCTTCTGCATGAAAAAGGACATAGCTAGCAAGATCAATAAAAAACCCCCACGGATTGGGAGAAGATCTTTACTAGCCATACAAAGGACAAGGGTCTCATATCTAAAATATACTTGGAACTCAAAAAAATTAAATCTCCCAACAGCAAATCCTCAAAGAAATAACTACCTGATAAATAAGTGAGCTAAAGACGTAAAGAGTGGCTGCCACCTCCTCGAGCCGCTGTGGTGCTGCCTGTGTGCTCGTTCGGTGTAGACAGGGGACCTCTTTTGTGAAGTGGCATCTGAGGAGACTCTGGCGCTGGCGATGGCCGACGAAAAGCCCAAGGAAGGAGTCAAGACTGAGAACAACGATCATATTAACTTGAAGGTGGCGGGGCAGTATGGTTCTGTGGTGCAGTTTAAGATTAAGAGTCATATAACACTTAGTAAACTAATGAAAGCCTATTGTGAACGACAGGGTTTGTCAATGAGGCAAACCAAATTCCGATTTGATGGGCAGCCAATCAATGAAACAGACACACGTGCACAGGTGGAAATGGAGGATGAAGATACAATTGATGTGTTCCAGCAGCAGACAGGAGGTGTCTACTAAAAAAGGGAACCTGCTACTTTGCTCCAGAACTTTGTTTTTATAGACCAAGAATACATTCTTAATTAGAAAACTGCAATTTAGTTCCACCACATCCTGACTACTACAGTATAGTTTTCTCTATTCTTTCATTTTCCCTTTCCCCATTCCTTTATTGTACATAAAGTAACTGGTGTATGTGCACAAGCATATTGCTTTTCTTTTTTCTTTTTCTTTTAAACTAAATGGCCAATGGTATATTTTGATTGACATTAAATGGAGATGGGATGGGGAAAAATACTGGTCCTGTGAAAATATCCCCCTTCTCCATTCGTGGCATGCTCATTCAGCTTTTATCTTTATATTTCAGTAAGTTATTTTGCTCTCACTGTTTTAACAAAAAGAAAAAAAGAAAAAAACAACAAAAATCCTTGCATACCTTGTTTAATTGGAGAATTTTAATGTTTTCATTTATCATTGTGAAACCAAGGACAATTTTATAACTTTTTTGTATGTAGCTGTTACATGTAGGGCAATCTGTCTTTAAGTAGGGGTAAATTACTCTTTAAAAAAAAGAATCCTAGATAGTTTTCCCTTCAAGTCAAGTGTCTTGTTGTTTAAATAAACTTCTTGTTTAAAAAAAAAGACGTAAAGAGTAACTTCTCTGAAGAGTAAATAAGAATGGCCAATAGACACATGAAGAAATGCTCAACTTCTCTAGCCATAAAAGAAATGCAAATCAAAACAACATTGAGATTCCACCTCATCGCAGTTAGAATGGCTATAATCAAGAACTCTAATTACAACAGATGCTGGAGGGGATGTGGACAGAAGGGAAGGCTGCATTGTTGGTGGGTGTGTAACTTGTTCAACCACTTTGGAAAGCAGTTATGGAGGTTCTTCAAAAGACTCCACATAGAGCTCCCCTATGACCCAGCAATCCCACTTTTAGGCATTTACCCAAACGATCTCAAACAAGGCCATACTAAGGCTACCAGCACAACTATGTTTATTGCAGCAGTATTTACCATAGCTAATATATGGAACCAACCCAGGTGCCCCTAAGTAGATGAATGGATCAAGAAAATGTGATATAGATAGATAGATAGATAGATATGAATTCTGTGCCTCCATCAGAAAGAATGACATTGCCCCATTTGCTAGGATATGGAAAGACTTGGAAAAAATTATACTAAGTGAAGTAAGCCAGGCCAAAACAAACATAGGTTCCATGTTTTCCCTTATTTTCAATAACTAGTACATGTGTAAAGCAAGTAGAAAAGGTCAAAGCTATGTACATATGAACATAAAAGATGATGTTTAGCAAAATGAACCCCAAGATAGAGACACAAGTGGTTTTTCTTTTCTTGCTATTGTTTTAATGAACTTATAATGTACTATGTGATTTTTTTGTTTCTTTTACATGTTCTTCCCCCACAGTGTAACCCCTGTTTTCACTGTATTTGATTCTGGTGCCCTGCATCTTGTATATAAATTTTTTTCTAATTTGGGGAGGGAAAGGGAAATAACAAAATGTTTCAATACAGATAGAGGTTGGCCAACTATAACAATGAGATATACAAAACACTATGTTGAAAATGAACGTTACAACTTTGAGAGGGAAAGGGAAGAGAGAGGAATCTGGGGAGGGAAGGGATGGTAGGGGAATAACAAAAGAGGAGGTAACAAGGCTCGATAGGAAATGTACTCATTACCTTACTCATATAACTGTAACCCCTCTGTATGGTATTTTTATAATAAAACAAATATGAAAAATAGTGTCTTCTCTCCATATTATCATAGACACAGATCACATCCCAGTAGGTGGCACAGCAGCAGGAATATATGGGAGGAAATGGGGATGCTGAAGACAGAAGGAAGTGCAGATTTGTCTCTGGTTTGGAGGTGGAGAAGTGAGTCTGTCCTAGCACCACTGGGATAACTTGGGTGAAATTGGCCCATGGTCACTCAAGAGTTTGACACTAAACAATAGAATTTGTGACTGTCATTCACCATGAGGATTTCCTACTGTGGCTGGGACTTCACAGATGCCAGAGAGGGGACAGTCCAGTACTGGACCTCTGTACAATGTGGGAAACCTGACCTGACTCATTGTTGACTGGCTTGCTGGCTCACAAACACTTTGACACTAGCTGGAGTCACAGGAGGAGGTCATGTTATCTGTCAACACAGTGAAAGGTCATGTTGGAGCCAGGTGTCAGTGGCTCACACTACACAGGAGGCTGAGATCTGAGGATTGCTGGTCAAAGCCAGCCTGGACAGAAAAGCCTGTGAGACTCTCATCTCCAATTAGCTACCAAAAAGCCAGAGGTGGAGCTGTGGCTCAACTGGTAGAATGCTAGCTTTGGGCAGAAAAAAAACCCAAGGAGAGCGCCCAGGACCTGAGGTCAAGACCCAGAACTGGCCCATATAAAATAGGCCTTGTTAGGAAATGAAGCCCAGGAAGCTCTGGAACCTGGTCCAGGTGGAGCTTTAATTGGTTCTCAACAATGGTCCTGTACATGGTCCAGTAGAAATTAATCTGACATTATTCTGAGCTAAGTACCTGGAGGCAGGACAAGAAATGGATACTTCCAGGCCAGTGCCACTTCTAACTGGGAGAGGATGCTTGAGGCAAAGAGGGGGGAGGGTCCAGCATTCTTTCTAGTGGCAAAAACCCAGAAGTAGAGCTGCAACACAAGTGGGAGAGAGCACCAGCACTGAGCAAAAAAAAAAGCTAAGGTATGGCTCCCAGGTCCTGATTTCCAGCCCCACTACCAGCATAACAATAAAGAAGATAAGCAGAGTTCCCACTAGATGGGAGATGTCATAAGAGTGGGCGCCTGAGGTGTATAGTGGAGGGGTTAATAAGTTGTCTCCAGGAGAGAGCTACTTGGCTGTCAAGAACATTGCACAGCCTTCAGGACATGTCTATGCCAAGTCAGAGGCTACACATAATCTGCATGAGCTCTTTCTGTGGCTAGATGCCCACTCCAGTGCACACCTTTGGAACCCACTCAATCTGTTGTCCATGGTCAGACCATCCAGATGCAATTATCATGATGTGATGCCAAGGGACCTGCACGTGCACCTGCACAAGGCCTTGATAATGTGATGCCCAGGGGCCTGTGTGGAGAACTGCTCAGGCTACAGTGAGGGCTGCAGGCCTTTGCCCTGATTGTCTCGCCAGCCGGGCTCCTTTCCTACTCTCACAAAGAGCCCTGCCAACCTCACTCTGCACTCATGTGAGCTGAGTTGTATCGTAGGAAGCAGGACATGACCTGGAGCTCAGTAGGGAAGTCTCACTTGTGGCTGGGAGAGGACAGGATGGAAAGGGGTCTAGACACAGAAAGAAATGAGAGTTCCCACATCCTTCTGTCTCATGGGGTCCGGATGGGCTTCTCTCACCTGAGACTCTGATTCTGGCCCTTACTCCTGTCCAGAATAAAGGCTCATCTCTGACTACTGCCTGTGATGAGCACCCTACAATAACTTGAGAGTAGTCTGAATACGGTGCAAGGAGACCATGTCTTTGGAGGGAGATGGCAGGGCTGACAAAGCTAGTTCCCGAGGTTTCTACAGCATCCTTAGGCCTAAAGTAGGGCCCAGTCTGGAGCATAGCCTACTTGCAACTAGCCCAGAAGTCTGGTGGCAGAGCCTCGGTGCCAGAGTGTGTCAAACGACTTCACTCAGACATCAGTCTTCTGTGTCATCCTTTGAGGAGTTAACCACCTGGAGAGAGGTCAGTCAGAGCTTACAGGATCAGGCCCACCTTTCAGGTAGAGGATTAAAGTGAATGGCTAATCTATTCTGGCTCTGAAGTGATGATTTGTCCTATCCCATATTCAGGGTGTGACTTTCTGAGACACAGGGACCAGAAGGGACACAGAGTGAATAGATAGGCAGGGTGGTACCGAGCCTGACCCATGCTCCAGGGCCCACCCTACCTGTTACCCTTTCCCTCTGGGTATGGTGGTCTCCCATGGGAACATTCTACTAGAAACAACAGGGGAAACAGCTGCTCTGAGGAAGCCAGCCTGCACATCATCATG